CAAAGCCGATCTAACAGTAACAAGAAGGCTACCATGTCTGTCCCTCTCTTTGGACACACGAGTCGCCACAAGTATTATTAGCTATATTATAGATTCCCCTCTTCATCTAACTTTTGCTTCTCTCTCTCTAATCAATCCATATTCCTTTGCTTGTTACTCCAACAAGATCAAAAAAAAAAGAAAAGAAAAACAAAAGGTGGGTCCTACTACCTTAGGTTGTTTGTCATATATTCCTGCCATGTCGCCTCATAGTCATAGCTGTATGAGTTTATTCTGGAAAAGAAAAATTAGGTAATAAATTAGATTGGATGAATTAAATTAATAAAAATTAAAAAAAAACACGTGCTGCTATTTATATATAGTTATTATTCTAATTACTGTTGTCATCATCGATCAGAAATATTGTCCTTCTTGTTCCTTCAATTCAACAACTAATAATAATTCTTATTTCTTTTTCTAGGACTACCATAGTTGATCGATCGAGTTCTGTCACTCAGAAGTACGAGCAGTAGTATAGCATCAAAAAAAAAACTGAAACCCTAGGGCTGAGTTTGAAAGGAGTATAAATGTAAATATGTACAATATAAATATATATAAAATACAAGATTTTATACTATAAATATATACAATGTAAATACATACAAAATATAAGGTTTTGCATTCTACGTATTTGTATTTATACTCCTTCCAAACTCAGCCTAGATGAAAAATTATGTTGTTATTGAAATGCATTCATCAGCCAGGGTACAAGGATGAGGCCGTCCCTCCATTAGAGATTGACAATCTAATTTATTGTTATAACTAAATTTTACTTTTTTTTTATAACTTCTATAATATAAAAATGAGCAATTTTGAATGAATTTTAGAGTTGTTCCCATGGATGATAAAATGAGAGAAAATAGACCAAAAGGGTTTGGTAAATTATGCAATATTTACACTTCAAACCATCATTTTAATGGCTTCAAAAACATGAATTGCTCTCTCTCTCTTTGAAATAAAATTAACTTATTCATGTTATATAACACCCCATTAAAGAGGCAAAAGCAATGCTTTGATTTGCAAGCAAAACAAAGGTGTTTTATAGAATCTCTTATAGGTCCATGAACCCATCATGTCTGCATATATAGAACAACTATATATCATAGACAATAGAACTGCATTCACTTGAAAAGTGATATTCTTTAATCAATTATACCATGCAATAACTGTACTTGATTCCATGTCAATCCTTAAACAAACACAGAATTATAGACCCAACCATTCCATTAACTTAAGCTTTACCCTTTTTTTCTTGCACCTCCCCCATCAAATGGAAACCACAATGTCTTAGTCATGTGGACTGTTTTCTGGACACATCCCCAACGATGGAGACACTCCAAGCTTCCAATAATCTTTTTTTTTTCACTTAAAGCTAAGCTAGTATTGCAGTGGGCCGGTGATTGCTTTTGAGGCCCGTGTAATGGGCCTGAACGTGGGACAACGAGAAATAGATTTTCTCATTAATATATTGATGGGGGAGATATATGGTGACATAACCATTTTAAGTGAGATCTGTTTTATAAATAATTAAATGGCATCGACAGGCTTAAGTATTTAGCTGAGTCGGTAGAGCATGACCCACGATTTCATTAACATGAACAAGAGAAAAGGGGGCTGAATAACAGACATCCTTTTTTTTTTGTTGGTTTGGCCAGCCCAATCTTGACTGTTTATGCATATTATTGTGTCAAAACCAATTAGACTCAGCATTGGACTGAGATTCTATCAGATTTAAAGGCCCTGCCCAACCTATTTGGGGCTGTTATTCAGCCCAAACCTTCACATTGGCCGTTTACAATGTTGGTTTAGAGCCTTCTTAAGGCACAACAGATTAGAAAACCAAGTCTCCCTGTCTCTAGATTCCCAATTCTCTACTTGTCGGTAGGGTTACAATTTGGGTTGGCCTGAGTTAACATTTTACACTGTTTCAGGGTCGGGCTCATCCAAATTATGACAGCATCCCAACCCTAAACTTCCCAAGTTACACCCCTAGTTGTCGGGTGGGCTTTGGGAAAAAAACATTATGTACATGCCAACTCAAATTCAGATTTGCTCACAAAGAGCATCCCATGCCATGCTCACATCAAGTTGCAGCCATAAATTGGGAGCATCTCTCCATGCATCATAACTTGTATTGATGGAGATGACCCGGAGGCTGAACTGTTTTTGCCTCTGGGTCGTGGGTCACTAGTTCGACCAGCCAGGTCGAACAGTTCAGGCCATGCCACGTTATTGCATACAATGAGCATATAAAGGGCATAAATATCCTTTACTCTCACTATAACAGAATTCTAGAAACGTAGTCCTCTTTCCCCCAAAGTCAAGCGGTTTCTACCTCTCAGAAGCTACAGATTCATCTCCCACTTTTGAGTCTGTTTCCTGCACAAAGATAGACACTTCCAAGATGAACCGAAAAAGAACGCCCTCTCTCCAACAAAGTCGAACGGTTTCTGCTTTCCAGAAGCTGCAGATTCATCTCCCACTTCTGAATCTTTTCCTATATATAGAGATAGACACTTTCAAGACTTACTAAAAAGAACACCCTCTCTCACACAAACTCAAACGGTGTCATCCACGTTTTGAATCTCCTATATTGCTTTTTGGGGTCACGATCCGAGAGGAACATGTTTGAATATTTACATTGGGGAATGCATAAATGGAGGTAGTGATTCCCTTGGACTACACACAAATCGACAAGAGCAATTGGAGTAGTGTTTAAAGAAGGACTCCATCGTTCTTTAAAGGTAATAAAACTCTACTATTATTCTCCTTAGTTTTCTATTTTCACGGCAAACTGGGTTATTGTGGGATTACATGTTTTCCTTTTTCCTTACAATTGAACATCTATTTCAGACTCGATATATGTTCATTTATGTTCTTTCATTACTGTGTTTAATTTTGATTACTTGCTTATCTTCTTTATTTAATTTTGTATTGTTGACGACGAATTCCATATGTGGATGAACTTTTGGGCATAGTTCATGAGTAATCCATTCTAAATTGTAAAAGGTAACTTTGGGGGGTAGCTTCCCAATGCAACAAAAAAAAGTGCTTTACGATTCAATTCATATCTACACACTCCATTCCATTCTAAGGTATCGCCCAATTCATATCTACACCAGATATATATGGTTTGCCCACTTCCTGATCATTCTTTTGTTATACTATTAATCTTTCTTCAAATTTGTTTTTTGAGGCACATTTTACCAAGTTCTCACTTTTGGACAAGTACATTGAAATCATAAAGGAACACTTTCCTTGGAAATTTAGACATATTGGAATAGTCTTAGATATGATGTAATTTGCAATTACCATAGATATGATTTAATATATGTTTTTTATTTATAAAAATATTAAAAATTTTAATTTGAGGTCAAAAAGGAGGATTTTTTGTGAAAATAGCGGAGCGGCACCTTGGGATGCATAAATCTCGAAAAGTTATCCAAAATAAAATAAAAAAAATACCCCAATCAGACATCGGAGTGCAAAGCTATGACCTATGAAGGTTTTGTATGCATTGAATTTGCAACTTGCGACTCGATCATCGGGTTGAACGACTCAATGGTTATACTGGCCAGATTGAACAGTTCTTGACCAAATCAACGGCTTTTGAGTTTTGACCGTCTAATGGGTCTTAACTGAACCGAACCCAAAATCCTGACTAAGTGAAGATTCGAACAATTCGACTAGCCGGATCAGTGGCAGATTGAAAACATTAATTATTGGTTATGAGGTTGGTGTAAGGGTCAATGGCAGATTGAAAACATTGATTATTTATATAATTGAATTTTGTGGGGAGCCAGTCGACCTCAGAAGCCTACAATCACCTTGAAGGTATAATTGAATTTTTGTTTGTTACTCAAAAACCCATCTTTCCCTTTCCTCTTCTCTGAAATGAATTTTTAATTTGCAAAGCATTACATTTGAGCAAATCGTGATTCAATCAGGTACGGATGCTACCAGAGTGGCAACTGACATGGTCTCCCTCAATTCCACTGTAAAGCACGTTTTTCGTAACACTGCTACGTTTTCCGGAGTACATGTAACGTCAACACCTGTTGATCTCTCCTACTCTCAACTAAGTGTGGCCAGTGGCATCGTCAGCAACAAAACCCATCTCATGGTACGTTTCTCTGAGAAAATAAAGATGATTCAGTCATACTCCTTCTCTGTGGTGGCTTTAACCTTTTATTTCCTTCCCTCCTTGGGATGATATTGCAGATAAAGAAGTTCTATCAGTCGAGGAAGAGCCAAAGAACGACGACAGTAGTAGTGGTGGGGAATAAAATCCCTCTGTAAGGAAGTGGGGAGGGTTTGAGCAGTTCGACAAGCACCTTAACAGTGCCGGTGCCTCTGAAACTGAGTTTCAGGGTTCGATCGAGGGCATACGTCCTGGGAAAACTGGTCAAACCAAAGTTCCATAAGACGATCGAGTGCTCCGTGGTTCTTGATCCTAAGAAGCTCAACATCCCCATTTCTCTGAAGAATTCGTGCTAGGTAAAATCAGATTCATGGCTGGAGGCGGCGGCACTGGTGAATAGATTGAAGAAGAGGGAGAAGATGAAATTTTTTTAAATGTACTACTGTAAAATTGCGTATGTGACGTTGATGTATCAGTACAATGGAGTCACCGCAGGCACAACAATTATAATTCTAAATATTCGCTCAATTACCATTAATTTTCAATTCACTTCGTTCATAAAATGATCATTTTTTTCACACTATAAGTTATTCAAAAGGCAGAAGCAAGACAGTCATTCAAATGATTGACTGAATTCCATTTGAGCTCTCCGGATTTTTCACCTAGCTCATAGGATATCCGTGTGAAGCCCGCCTTGGAAAAGCCGGAAGCCGCTGCAATTCAGCGCTCCCAAACAGGGCACTGGCCGTTAACCTTAATGTACACTTATCTGTAATCGTCTGAGTGAATATATAGGGTAAAACAACAGAACTCTTTACCAAACACGTGAAGACTGAAGAGCAATTTAATTCCACTTGAGTACGTTTACGAGTTTCAACCACAAACCACACGAATCACATCGACAATGAACACATACAGACAACAGAGTAAGAAACAAAAAACAATACTAGGATTAGCTAAAACGTCAAACCAGAACCTCCCAACTTTTGATCTGTGATCCGATTGAACTCATCTACCATCTCAGGCGTCAGATAGTTCACCCAATCTCCGACCACGCCTCGCCGGAAGAACGTCCTATATTCCTCTCCCGACTCCATCTTCCCGTTCTTGTTCACATCCAAATTACTCAAAGTATCAAAACTGCACAACCTGAATATCTCCTCCACTGTTCCTTCCTCCTCTTCCTCCGGGGAGAATGGGTAACCCAAAAACTTGGCCAACCTTCTGATGTGAACAGCGGGTTGCTCCTTCATCTCTTCATACTTGAAGAAACATACCCTATCAGGCCTTTCTTGGCTTTCATTCCAATACCCCAAAACATGGTCCCAGAAAGGCCCATACAGGCTGACTCCCCTGCAAAATCTATGAAACGCCTCTTCCAGTGAAATGGGTTCTTGACCACTGGTTCTCAACTTGCTTGTGAAGTGCCAGAGTGAAATGAAGGTGTCTTTAGGATCCCTACAGAGGAAAACAACTTTGCACTTGGAATGCTTGACGGAATCCGGGAGCGATAAATAGGGGAGATGAGTGGAGAAGAGCCTTGGAGAGGTGAAGGTGGCAAGGTCAGGAACATGGTCATCAACGTAGAGCTTGATCTCTAAAAAGGGTACAAGCTCATGTGGGTTTGTCGTGAGCAGTGGGTGGTGAGAGAAAGAGTAACGCTTACGGTTCACAATGGCAAAGGCAATGGCTTTCAACCAAGTAGTACCTGATTTGGGATTGGTAACAAGGAGAAGGTCGGTGTCCTGGGCTTTGAAATGTCCTTGACAGTTGATCGCTCCCAGCAGTTTCCTGGCTGTGTACCAAAAGCCTTGGTATTGATACAGATGATTACAGATCCATCCTACACCTCTTGGTAGGGAGGGGAGTAAGTGCTTACCCTCTCCCTTCAGTTCCTCCACTTCTTCCTGCAAATATTTAAGATGAGGAGGAGGAGGAGGAGGAGGAGGAGCTTGGGTCGCCGTCGTCTGCATAGAGCCTTGTTTCCTGCTTCTTGCCTTAGAGCTAGATGAGATGAGAAAATGAGAAAGAAGTTTAGGGAACTTGAGACTTGGGAGGAGAAGCCCTGTAGAGACGGCTTTAAATAATGGAACGGGTCACTCTCGTGGATCCAATTCCATTGATAAGTCTCCCTTTTCCTCTTTAAAAACCCGCATGTAAATTGATGAGGGCGGATTTGGCCCTCCAATAACATTATGACACATGGCACCTCATGACAAATAGGTGCATTCCGGCACTTCACAGGCAGCTTGGCACCTCACAGGCAGCTCGCCACCTCACAGGCAGCTTGCCACCAAGCAGCTCGGCACCTCACAGGCAGCTCGCCACCAAGCAGCCCGGCACTTCATAGGCAGCTCGCCACCATGCAGCCTGGCACCTTACGAGCAGCTCGCTTCCCAGTCAGACCGCCGCGTGGTAATTCCAATGATCTCACCATCGTACCCCGAGTCTTACGGAATCGTACCTTGTAACGGTTATATTAGCTCACCCACTCCCCGATTCAGGTGGAAATGGGCAACATTACCGGTTGATGGCGTTATCACCAACTAACACGAAAACAGATCCCATCACAGCGGGGATCCAGGAACTACTCCACCAAACCCGTGAGGACTCCAGTATATAAAGACCTCACCCCCCAGGGGCGAAGGTATGCGTAATCTTTGCTCTCTAGCTCTCTCACAATCTAATATCATCTTCAAGCTCGCAACTGAGTGCTAACTTAACCACCGAAGTGACCTCGCCGGGTAAGCCACTCCAGGTTCTCTGATTCATCTCTTGCAAATTCATCTAGCCCGTTGTTGGTGGTAGCCAGATCATCTCCTATAGGGAGCAGCCAGATTGTGCTACATCATTTGGCATCGTCTGTGAGAACTGCTACTAAAAGCCCTTGTCTCCATTCAAAAACTCTTAAGCTTAGAATCAAATCCATGGCTTCCTCCAGCAATGCCAGACAAAACAATGAGGTGAACGTCTCCGGGGGGCAACCTCAGTTCCCGTCTGTCTGCATAGGTCAGTTCACCATATCGCTTACTACGGCTAGGGTCCCAGCGCTAACGATGCACCAAGAGACTGCACAAGTGAATGCGCCACTCCCTCCTGTAGTCGACGCGACATTCACTGAATCCTTTGTGGTTCTGTGGGAACCACTACAAAAAACTAAGTTCTCATCCTCTAAAAGGTTAAATCCTCTTCTTCCAAAAAGCTAAGTCCTCACTTTTTAGAAACTAAAGCTCTCGCTTTATAGTTTCCATTTTTTATGAACTCAAAGACTATGCAGGAAGTTGATAGTTAACAGATTAAGCAGCTCTACCAACTTTACTTTCAATTCAGATAAAACCTTGTCAGTCCTCTTCACGAGGTCCTCTCTATAAAGATGAGCTCTTCGTGGCTTCCACGGGAATTGGTGGCCAACAGACTATATGAGCGCCCTTGCAGGTCGAGCCTTCAAAGGCTCCTGTGCGAACTGGCGACCTAAAGTTAGAAGTGTTGTCCCCGTTGGTCGAGCTCCTAGTAGCTTCTTGTAGGAGTGAGTGACTGGCATCACGAGGCTGATGCAATGCAATCATAGCTCTAAGGCGCCCACCTGGTAGCCTAGCACATGCGTCGACCTGACGCGAGCGCCGACCTGGCGGCCTGGCCCAGGCGCAAACTGACGAACTGATAAAAGACTTCCTCGTCACATAAGACACAGTCGCCTCTTCGGCATGGACAAAATCAAGGAGAGTGGACTACGAGTCGCTCCCAGAGCCTAAGGGCTAAAATATCACATAAGACCCAGTCGCCTCTTCGGCATGGGCAAAATCAAGGAGAGTGGACTACAAGTCGCTCCCAAAGCCCAAGGGCTAAAATATCACATAAGACCCAATCGCCTCTACGGCATGGACAAAATCAATGAGAGTGGACTACGAGTCGCTCACAAAGCCTAAGGGCTAAAATACCACATAAGACCCAATCGCCTCTTCGGCAATGATAAAATCAACGAGAGTGGACTATAAGTCGCTCCCAGAGCCTAAGGAATTGAATCAGTGCTTACGAGCTCATCGAATTCTAGGCCAAAAGGAGAAATCTACTCCCTTCGCCGAGTTACTTTCAGCTCGAGAGTGGGGGGCAAATGATGAGGGCAGATTTGTCCCTCCAATGACATTATGACACATGACACCTCATGACAACTAGGTGCAGCCCGACACCTCACAGGCAGCTCGCCACCAAGCAGCTCGGCACCTCATAGGCAGCTCGCCACCAAGCAGCCCGACACTTCACAAGCAGCCTGGCACTTCACAAGCAGCTCGCCACCATGCAGCCTGACACCTTACGGGCAGCTCGCTTCACAGTCAGACCGCCGTGTGGTAATTCCAAGGATCTCACCATCGTACCCCACGTCTTACGGGATCGCACCTTGTAATGGCTATATTAGCTCACCCACTCCCCGATTCAAGCGAAAATGGGCAACCTTACTAGTTGGTGGCGTTATCCCCAACTAACACAGAAACAGATCCCATCACAGCAGGGATCCAGGAACTACTCCACCAAACCCGTGAGGACCCCAGTATATAAAGACCTAACCCCCAGGGGCGAAGGTATGCGTAATCTCTGTTCTCTAGCTCTCTCACAATCGAATATCATCTTCAAGCTCGCAACTGAGTGCTACCTTAACCATCAAAGTGACCTGGTCGGGTAAACCACCCCGGGTTCTCTGATTCATCTCTTGCAGGTTCATCTAGGCCGTCGTTGCTGGTAGGCAGATCATCTCCTACAGGGAGCAGCCGGATTGCGCTTTATCATAAATGTTACATGATCTTTTGCCATTCTTCCGTGGAATCAACAATATATATCACCATTAATTGTTCATCTCTTTATTCTTTTCTTTCCTTTACAAATGAAAATTTGAGTTGTAACCATCAATCCAATTAGGAAAATGACGATTCAAATTCGAATTCAACTGAATAATCGTTTATTTTGAATTAAATTCGAATATGACCAATTAATGCAAATCTCCCGAAATTGTAAACTCACCATCACCATCACAGTTCAGCATTTGTCTTAAACTCACCTTAATTTCTCAAAACGTCTAGGGAACCCATGTCAGTGATTTTGTTTTCTAAAACTCACCATCCGTGAGATCACAGTTAGTAAGTATTTGTCACCGGTGCTGGGAACACCGTACCCTTTCTCATAAAAACGGTGCTTAGCATATGTGAGTTGTAAGCACCTATTTTTTGTTTGGAAGTAGTTCTGCTAAATAGGCTGTTTTATGGGAAAATCGCACTGGTTTTGTTTGGTATCAGTACTGTAGAATCGTTTTTAGCATTGATCATATTGTCTAACATCCAAGATGGTGCCACATCATTGCACTGCTTATAGCAATGAGCTGTTTTATGAGAAAACATCAAACACTTTCCTAATTTTCAAGGCGTGGTCTAAAGCAACGTTTTTATGAAAAAACAATACCAAATAAGATGTCGTGTTCTGAAGCACCACTTTTTCTTATGTGGCACCTACATAGCACCGTTTTCTCAGAAAAAGGCATCAATGCTAAACACCCACTTAGTGCTCATTGATGGAAATTGTCCACATCAACATAAATGCAGTGTTTTATGACCAAACTGCCCCTGAATGGCATGCCAGCCTTACTCTTATTGACCAAATATCTTTTCTTGATCTCAATTCTTGTTACATTTAAAATTAAAAGGAGAAAAGGGACAGTTGTGCTGTGCAAGTAGATGTGGAGTATCAGATGAGTTTGATTTGAATCAAAAGTGTTCTTTTTATTTGAAGTTCCCCTTTTTTACTTGCATATATAAAGTGGATAGAAAATTTTTTAGACTGAAATATGTGGGATATATTTTTGTTGCTTTTTATTAAAGTATTGTTTTATTTTCCACTTACAATAGAACAAAGGATAAAATAGTAATTTATCAACATCCATTGGTCTGTCTATATAACACCAACTTACTAAGATGGGGATCTCTGAACATTTTGAAAAGTTAATGATGAATTTAAGAGAAATGCTCACTAGGCATGGTGAGTTTTAAACAATTTCCCTTTTTTAACATCATAACCTTTATCAAAATAAATAAATGACCTATAATTTTATTAAAGAGGATCAGAGGATATGTTTTTTTTTTGCTCAAGCGGCTACACAGCGGAGTAGTCTATCGCGCAATCCCATGAGCCTTTTGTTCCCACACCCTACCAACATGACCGACACCATGCATCTCATACACGACAGATCTCACTTTTATGATGAATCTCAATTTTATAAAAAGATGCGTGGTGTCAAATTAAGTAAAAATAAATGCTTGTCGGCATGAGATCTCAACTCCCAACTATAGTGTAGGCGGGATCTATCCCAAGTTCCCCCTATAACCAGCATAATACCTTACCTACAGGCCAGTTGGTATCTTGGAGGATCAAAAGAATATTTGAGGTAATCTGTCATATATGTATTTTAATGGTGTTGTCATTCGAATTATTTGCATTCAATTTCAATTATGTCCAATCCAGAATACAAAATCAAATTTCCGGATAATGTTTAAGCCCCCATCGAGAAAACAGGAAGGTGAATTAAGGATCGATAAAATATGATTCATCACAATCATTTGATAAGATCTGATTGTTGTCTTTGCAAGGAGGGTCTTCGTTTGAAGAGACTAAATTCCTCTTCACCCTTGTAAGGAGGAGTGTCAATGAATCGATTTTGGGTTGGATCCATCGAAATTAAAATCAATTTAGACGGATTAAATGGACTAATAAGACATTGAATTGGACCACTTCAGTTCAAAGTATTTATTGGATTGGAATATTGGACCTGATCTTTCTGTGAACGGTCACTGATCTGGATCGTCAGACTATTTGACCCAAAAATCATTCAGGCAGCAGTTCCGTTTTGTCCTCCGAACCAGAACTTTGCTAAAATCATTGAGTTAATCAACAATCCACTAACCCAAGTGGTCTAATGGTCAACCCGTTAAACCTGGACAATAGTTTTGACTGTTTTTATTTTAGTTAATTTTTTAAACTAATCTTTATTTTTCTAAATTGCAAAAGATGATTCGGTCAAACTGCTGACCCAGAAACCAGTGGCTAAAGCAGGTTAGTTC